GCAAACATGTACTGTGGAAAACAAAGGAGAGGAAGGAGTCAAAATGGATACATAATCAAGTAAATGTAGCATACTTTATGAGAAAATGATTTCTACACAGGAGAATAAACTATGGAGCAATTCTAGATAGAAAGGTGTTCAGTTAGACAGTGGACATCTTGAGGTTAGTCACATATTGAAAGGCAACAACAACTATAAGTATGGCCTAAGAATTCAGCTCAGTGGAAGAGTGTCTGCCTAGAATACATGAGGCCCTGGGAGTGATACCTGGTACTAGATGAAGCAGGTGTGGATATTCAAGAATTGTTGGAGGTAGGTTAAGAAATAGTCAGCCAACTGGTTATGATATAGCCTCTAACTCACTACAAAGTGGAGGCAGACTGATGGAGTCTATGCAGTACCTATTTTCCACTGTACGATCCTGCTTAAGAAAACCTAGATTTAATTTTTATATTCACCCAACTTGTAAATTCCATATGCACCTCAGAGGAACTAAGGCTCAACCTCAGAAGGTGAATTCTGACTGATCTAAACCAATCACATGACCAAGTCACAGGTCTGGCCACAAGTCTGGCCACTGAGTCATGAAGGAAAGTCAGCTGTGTGCTTCAGGGTAGCATATACTCACTCTTAAAGGAAGTCAACAAAAAGAACTGGCCTCTCTCTAAACATCATTGGCAGGTACTGCTGCAGCCATCTAACCACTAGAAACAGACCTGTGGACTGGACAATGTGCTGAGATGGCAAAGACCATAGATTGAGAGAGCCTGGGGCCTTGATGTTATTAAACAGCTACATCAATCACCCAAACATGCCATTATGTTGTCCTTCTTGTTGTGGTAGATTATACATGGAAGCCAATTACATTGGGATTTCTATTATTTGAAGCTGACGTCATCTCTACTGACCAAGCATCCTTGTCCCAAATCAATTCACTCTCCACACCACCATTGTTTTCACTGTCTATTAAGAACAGTCTCTCTAAGAACTCTCCCAAACCTCATCATCTACTATTGCACATAAAAAGAGAAGTGCAGCAGTCCATTGGAAGAGAAGAATGAACATCTGAAGAAAAATTCAAGAACAAATACATACACGTGATCTGAAAGAGTGAAACTTACTGACTTGGGAATAGATGAATCTTACCAGTTACTAAACATTAACGATGTCACATATTTTTGTTAGAACATGCTGCACAATTGCCACTATTGCCATTTTCTGTAAGCAAACCAAGGCAGAAATGCTAAAAAAAAAAAAATACATATAATACCCCAACTTCACAGTGATAAAATTCAACGTCAAAATTTAATAGGGTCACATTTTCAAAGCAGTTCAAGAAGAGTGAAGGGTATGGCAAAGGACAGAGCTAGCAAGATTAATAGAAAGCCCACGGATTGGGAGAAGATCTTCACTAGCCATACAACAGACAAGGGTCTCATATCTAAAATATACCTGGAACTCAAAAAATTAAATCCCCCAACAACAAATCTTCAAAGAAACAACTGCCCAATAAATAAATGAGCTAAAGACTTAAAGAGAAACTTCTCTGAAGAGGAAAGAAGGATGGCCAATAGACACATGAAGAAATACTCAACCTCCCTAGCCATAAAAGAAATGCAAATCAAAACAACATTGAGATATCACCTCACCCCAGTTAGAATGGCTATAATCAAGAACTCTAATAACAACAGATGCTGGAGGGGATGTGGACAGAAGGGAACCTTACTGCATTGTTGGTGGGAGTGTAAACTTGTTCAATCACTTTGGAAAGCAGTATGGAGGTTCCTCAAAAGACTCCACATAGAGCTCCCCTATGACCCAGCAATCCCATTGTTGGGCATTTACCCAAATGATCACAAACAAGGCCACACTAAAGCTACCAGCACGACTATATTTATTGCAGCATTATTTACCATAGCTAAGATAAGGAACCAACCCAGATGCCTCTCAGTAGATGAATGGATCAAGAAAATGTGGTATATATACACAATGGAATTCTATGCCTCCATCAGAAAGAATGACATTGCCCCATTTGTTAAGAAATGGAAAGACTTGGAAAAAAATATATTAAGTGAAGTAAGCCAGGTCCAAAGAAACTTAGGTCCCATGGTTTCCCTTATTTGCAATAACTAGTTCATGTCTGAGTCAAGCAGAAAAGGTCAGATAAGTTGATGTTAGGGAAATGAACCCTAAGATATGTATTCAAATGTTTTTTTTTCTTTCAGGTGATTGTTTCTAACACATCTATAAGATGATTTCTTTGTTGCTTTGTATGTCCCTCCCCCATGGTATAACCCCTGCTTTCACTGTATTTGAGGTTGGTATAATTTGTGGAGGGGAAGGGAAAAAACAAATTGTTTAAATAGGGATACAGGTGGATCCATTGCAACAACGAGATGTACAAGTCATTATGTGGAAAAACAAACTTTACAACTTTGGTGGGGTGGGGGAGGAGGATTTGGTGCGGGGGGGGGGGGGGGGTCGGGGGGGGAAGGGGAAGGGGGGAGGATGAGAAGGGATGGGAAGGGGAAACAAAGGAGGAGGCTACAATGCTTGATAGGAAATGTACTCATTATCTTGCCCATGTAATTGTAACCCTTCTGTACAGTATTTTCACAATAAAAAAAAAAAAAAAGAGTGAAGGTTGAGAGGTCAAACCTCCTGAAAAGGAGAAAGTTCCTAATATTATCAAGGTAACAGTTTCTAGAAAGACCTAAAAGGAAAAAGAGAGTAGGGAAGTATTAAGCAATTGAAAATCACTTTCTGTAGAAATTTAGCAGTCAAGAAAAAGGACAGATGAAACAATGCTTCAGGAAGCAACAAGTTTAAGGGGAAAGTAGTTTGTTTCGTTCACAGAGTGGAAAAGAGCCAAGCGCATGGGTGGACTGAGGGAAGTGTCCAAAGAGACAGGTGTAGGAAGAGGCTACTGGGGGCCCAGGAAGAGACTAGCTGTTTTCTGCACTCTACTTGGTCTGCTCCCCGAAATCTAGCTGAAGCAAGGGTTTTGAGGGCTGATCGATGGCCAGACTGAGCTGATGTAATCACTGTTACAAGATATTAAATAATGAATGAACTTTATTTCTTTTATGCCTTTTTAATAGCCCTTTATAAAAGGACCATTGGAAAAAGACCAACTTGTCTTTCCAAAGTTTATTTTTGAAATACATAATTAATACAGAAAAGTACCACTAAACAGTAAAAACTGACATTCATCTCACCATCTAATATGGTATGACCTACAAAGAAGGAAAAGAGGAAAAATATCATTAAAAATAAAATGGTTTTATACTAGACCCTGAGTTTACTGTGCAAACATCTAGATTTACATTAGAGAAAGTTCAAATAATTAACAGTAATTAACATTTAGTAAGAACTTCCTATAAGCTAGGTGCTCGTGGCTCATGTCTATAATCCTAGCTACTCAGGAGACTGAGATCTGAGGATCACAATTCAAATCCAGTGTAGGCAAAAACGTCTGTGAAACTCTTACCTCCAATTACTGGCAAAGAGTAGGAAGAGGAGTTGTGGCTCAAATGGTAGAGCACCAGGAAAAAAGCCAAGTGAGTATATAAGGTTCTGGGTTCAAGCCCCAATACTGGCACAAAAAGGGGGAAAAAGAACTTACTATATGCTAACATTATATTAAGTATTTATTTATTTATTGCCTGAACTCTGGGCCTAGGTGCTGTCCCTCAGCTCTTCAGCTCAAGGCTAGCACTCTACCACTTGAGCCACAGCACTACTTCAGGTTTTTTCCGCTTATGTGATGCTGAGAAACGAACCCAGGGCCTCATGCATATAAGGCAAGCACTCTACCACTGAGCCACCTTCCTAGCCCCTATTAAGTAATGTTTATATGTTATCTTATTTAGGACTAATTCGTATAATGCCATGTAAGAAAAGTGTTATTGACTTTATTTGATGTCAAAGGAGCCTCAGCTCAAAGGCTTGATCTTTCCAAGACCTGTCTTCTTCTCTGTTGCATAAGAGTTTTGAAAATCAAATAATAATTCATAAATACTAAAGTTTAACAATGTTCAAAAAAGTGCTAGATATCTCCTAGTCTCACAGAACCCATTATAAAGGGTCTATTTTTATTACTCCTATTACAGATTAAATATATAGACTAGAAAGTCAGATATAAGAAGCTAGTACCTAGCCTTTCAACCAATATGCTCTGATGCCTAAGATTTTAAAAAATAAGTCTAAGGGAAGTGTGTTTTTTCATTTAAAAATGGCTTATAGGATTAGGCATCATATCCAGAAAGTATGAGCTAAATCCCCAATTCCCTGAAAGGAATAAACCATAGTATAAATTTCAAAGGAAGAACATACTGCCACTACCATGCAAGCTTAGAACTGTAGCTAAAGATCTTCTCAGTTGAAATTGAATGCCAGTTGTGCGATGCTAAAGTGTGATATGTTTAGTATTTTTTACCCATTTTAGGAGTTAGTAGTTGATATTCCACAGAAAACAATGTGTTTGTTTTACAGTACAATTCACTATGAGTTTCCAAGACTGCATTGATTTAGGCCTTTAAAAGATGCTAGCTCGTCAGTTTTCTGAATGGAAAAGTAATAACTAGAATAATCAGATACAGCACATAGATGTCATTGCTTCACTTAGTAAAAGGGAAAGACGTCACATCAAAAAAAAAAAAAAGTCTGGAGCCATATTGCCTTGGTTAAATCTAGACACTGACACTTACTTACCTATGTGACTTTCTGATGATTTTCTTTCTCTTTTCCATGTCTTGTATTTTCAACTGTTAAACAGAGCTATCATGGCAATCAAATGAGTTCACACGTGTAAAGCCTGGCACATGGTAAGCACTATATAAATGCTAGCTGCCACCACGCATGTGGATATTGGTAAATCATCACTTACGGTAGCCAGGCTCTCAGCTTTCTGGTGCCTGGCTGAGTAAATAAAACTCATAAGTTTTTCTTCCAGGAATGCTTTCAGTATTGTCCTAGAACATTTTTCTTTTTAAAAAAATGTTTTTTCAGAATAAATTCAGGCTCAAATTCTGACATCATTCTATTCAAAAAAGATCCTGTATCCTCATAAGCTCCTGGTATTTTGTTGCAAAGAGAATTCTTTTGGGAAGCTTTCCCCCAATTCTCTTGCCATCCAAACCTACTATATCATCTCCAGGATCCAGGGGTAAATGAAACTCGTAGGACCCTTTGTTTAAATTAAGAAGAAATTTCATGCCACACAGAGGAAAATATTAAACTAAATATGAGGCTCCCTAAAGTACAGAGCTATGCAACTGCACAGGTCACATACCCAGCAGGCCAACCTTTCATGACATTATTTGCTTTTGATAACAAGGAACACTCTAACTTTACTTCATTATTTATTTTTTGGAACAAGTCTGTTTTTAACGCTAACCTACCCAGGAAAAGATAGAAGATAATTTCCTTTATATGGAACGTATTTGGAAATCAACACATTTGTAGAAAACCCTACAAAGCAGAAATTTACTATGTCCCTGAAACAATGACTCTTCTGGAATGAGGGGGAAATAAATATTCTTTGAGCTCATTAGGATTCACTCCATTCAGTTATAAGCACAGAAACTTTTTCTTAATAGAAGTCTCCTATCCCACCCCACCTACCTGAGGCCCACAGATAATTCACAAGCCAAGAACATAGTCCTCACTTAGCAACTTAATTTTCCATTACTATGGTGGTTTTTCTCAAGTTGATTTTCAGATAATCTTCAGATAATCAATACTGAAGTCTACTAAAGTTTGTTTTGCATCAACTACTGGTGTTATTTATTGAACATTAGAGAAATTCTAGCCTCTTTGCTTAATAGTCTTGATTTTGTTAGATTCGGATAGCAAATAAACAGATTACACATGAATGTGTTTCTTATTTCAAAAACATACAACGCTTAGCATAAATTTGGCCTGTCTGTTCTTCCTGTGGGGTTATAGCAAGAAGAAACTTGATCCCTGAAAGACCCATGTGTTCATTTAATCTTCTGTAAACCCTCTTTGAACTGGCAACAGAGAACTCTTATTTGCTTAATTCATCTACTCAACTGTTTTGACTTAGGTATCTCTCTTTAAAACAAGTGGCAGTTTTGAATCTCCAAGAATTGTTTAGAAAAAGCAATCATGATCTTTGTGACGATTGGCAGATATTGATGAAATGGTAATATCTGTTTAGATCAGCTCATATCTCATGTTTCTAATTATGGGCGTCTGGATTTGAGTTGTGGTTAGCTAGTCCAAAGCCAGTAAGCCTAGTAATCAGATCATGGACAAAGGCCAGGTGTCATTTACTGAAGCAAGATAGTACATGCAAAAAAAAATTGCAATTTTTCTTGAACCTTTTCTTTCCTGACATTTGTAAGCATAATTTTTTCAATTGGGCATCCAAGACTGTGCCTTTAAATTTGTTTTTCCAGATTTATTTTCCAAGTCACTTAGGATGTGTGGTCACCTTTACTGGCAATTCATTTTACCAACCTCCCCTCTGCTGGATGAAAACAATCACTCCAGCTCATCTCTAATTCCTAAACTGAAATGGGTCTTGAATTTCGGCTCAACATTTACAGTTGAAGACAGTTTTCCAATTCTGCTTTTATCTTTTCCTCTGAATTCTACTACTGATGACTTAATGTGTTATAAATTATTTTACACTTCTCTAATTATTGTTTTGTGTTTGTTCCCATTAGCCATATTTCTTTCTGCTTAGATTCTGCTTCTCAAGAATTGCAACCCAGATGCCCTTCAGTAGATGAATGGATCAAGAAAATGTGGTATACATACACAATGGAGTTCTATGCCTCCATCAGAAAGAATGACATTGCCCCATTTGTTAGGAAATGGAAAGACTTGGAAAAAATTATATTAAGTGAAGTAAGCCAGGCTCAAAGAAACATAGGTCTCATGGTTTCCTTTATTTACAATAACTAGTATATGTCTGAGACAAGCAGAAATGGTCAGATAAATTGATGTTAAGCAAAATGAACCCCAAGATAAGGACTCAAATGTTTTTTTTTCTTTCTTGCTACTTTTTCTAACATATTTATAAGATATGTCTTTGTTGTTTTTATGTCCCTCCCCTATGCTATAACCCCTGCTTTCACTGTATTTGATGTTGGTATAATTTGTGGAGGGGAAGAGAAAAAAAACAAATTGTTTAAATAGGGATACAGGTGGACCCATTGCAACAATGAGATGTACAAATCATTATGTCAAAAAACGAAAACGAACTTTACAACTTTGGCGCTGGGCACGGGGGGGAGGGGGGGGGAAGGATGGGAAAGGATGGGAAAGGATGGGAAAGGATGGGAAGGGGAAACAGAGGAGGAAGCAGCAATGCTTGATTAGAAATGCACTCATTACCTTTCCCATGTAATTGTAACCCCTCTGTACGGTATTTTCACAATAAAAAAAAAAATTGCAACTAGGGCTGGGAAGGTGGCTCAGTGGTAGAATGCTTGCCTTGCATGCATGAGGCCCTGGGTTCAATTCCTCAGAACCACATAAACAGAAAAAGCCGGAAGTGGTGTTGTGGCTCAAGTGGTAGAGCGCTAGCCTTGAGCCGAAGAGCTGAGGGACAGCGCCCAGGCCCAGAGTTAAGGCCCTACGACTGACAAAAAAAATGAAAATTAAAAATTTTTTTAAAAAAGAATTGCAACCATACTATTTTCTCCTCTACTCTCATCCCTAATGCTTTGTGAAGTGTTAGATTCATTATATACATGAGTGTCTGGAAAATACTTAATAATTAACTGTTCTCAGCTTAATTATATTCATCCTCAACCCCAGATTCCCAGAAAAACCAGTAAGATGGAAAAATCTAAAAATGAGCAAAGTGAATACCACACTAAATTAGCACATAAACCTGTTTGTTTTTATTAGTATTATTATGAGCTTCCCTTACACTGAAGAAAGAAGTTTGTCATGTTCCCAGCTTTTCTAGGAATTGTAGAATCGATGGCCAACTTCAGAGTGCTGTAACTTAATCTTATTGGAAATATTATGGAAGTTCAAATTACTTCGGCTTAAATTAGTTTAGTCTTTATGTGAAAAAAGTTAGCAGTATCCAAAAATATCACTATATTCATTTGGGTCATGTTTTTAAAGATTGATCTAGTCTAAAATATTTAAATTGTGAGAATTTCCACTAACTAAAAGTATGACTTCAGTCATTCAACCACTTTGACTTGTAATTTCCTCATCAGCACAACAGGGATAATAAAATGCTATTCACCTCAAGAGCTGTATCTATGGCGCCGATGAAGAAAATGTATGTGAAAGCACATTATATATTCTGTGAAATATATAAATACAATAATCCTATTCATTCTCCAAAACCTTCAGTGGATGGTTTGTACTGAAACTTAATATATGCAGTGTTGCTACATAGTACCAGAGTGCTGGTGTTAATCTGTCCTTCCATGTTAAACTTTGCCAACTCACCTACACCACCCTCATCCAGTAGGGGCATTAAGTAAAATAAGGGTGGAAACATGCATTGCAATCTTGTAGTAGTCAATCAGATAACTTAGAGGCTAGCTGTTGAGTAATACATACAATGTAGATATGCTGGACAAAAGAATGATTTAAAACCTGCAGTGAGACAGAGCTGGACAGTAAAAGATTTCATCATGCCACTCACAACATCACACGATTGTAAAGTATGAATTGTTTGTTCCTCAAGTTTTTCAGTTAGTATTTTCAGATCATGACCCTACATAACTGAACCTTCTGCATGTGAAATGTTGGCTGGGCACTGGTGGCTCACATCTGTAATCCTAGCTTCTCAGTAGGCTAAGATCGGAGGATACTGGTTTGAAGCCAACCGAGGTAGGAAAGTCTGTGTGATTCTTATCTCCAATCAACTACACAAAAATAAATAAAATAAAAGCCACCAGAAATGGAGCTATGGCTCGAGTGGTAAAGGGCTTAAGCATAAAAGCTCAAGGACAGCGGCCTTCTGGTTGTCAGACTGCCAGTCACCTGCAGCAGAATTATTTCACCCCTCTTCCAGTTTCCTTGCAACATCACCAGTGGATACACCAGATGTTTGCCTTCAAGTTCAGAGAGTGATGCTCAGCACAGAACAAAAAAAAAAAGAAATGAGGGGGCTGGGAAGGTGGCTCAGTGGTAGAGCACTTGCTTTGCATGTCTGAGGCCCTGGGTTCGATTCCTCAGCACCACATTAGCAAAAAGAAAAAAGCCGGAAGTGGTGCTATGGCTCAAGTGGTAGAGCGCTAGCCTTGAGCTGAAGAGCTAAGGGACAGTGCCCAAGCCCAGAGTTCAGGCCTCACGACTGGACCCCCCCCCCCCCCAAAAAAAAAGAATTGAGTAGGAGGCTTCTTGCAGGCTGCATTGGGGTCCCTGAACCCCTCTTTTCGTTGCTTCTTTAGGAGGGACTGAGGTTTTCATTTCTCTTTCATAATGAGCCTCATCTGCCTGTGCTGTGTTATCACAATTTCCTTTCTTTTTGGTAGACATTATCTTCCACCTCTCTGACACACGGACCAAAAGCATATGGGCACATCTCCTTGTGCTCCTCCCAGGAAGTTTTCATGAAGAATGCGGATGATACCCTTTTGCCTCTCAACTTCTTAAGAACACCTTTATTCAAGTTTACATGTGTATCAGGAGCCACAAATCATTGATCACTATAATTTTGTAATATTTCATTTTAATTTCATCTAATAGAATCTTTTTTTAAGAACTTGAAAGCCAAGAGGATTTTTCATGCTACTTTAATTTACATTTTTACTGTTGTTAGTGTTGTTGTTTTTGTGCCAGTACTGGAGCTTAAACTCAGGGCCTCAAATTCTCACTTGGCTTTTTTCACTCATAGCTGGTACTCTACCACTTGAGCCATATGTCCATTTTCTAGCTTTTGCTGGTTAATTGAAGAAGCAGTCTCACAGACTTTTCTGTCCAGGCTGGTTTAGAAAAGTGATCCTCAGAATCAGCTTCTGAGTAGCTACGTATATAGGCATGAGGCACCAACGCCTGATTTAATTTACATTTTGGAGATTTATATATATATACATATATATACATACATATATATGTATGTATAT